AGTTACTCAGCACTGGATTTAGAAAAGTACTGCCAACCATAGGTGAAAAAAAATCTGGCTGACTTGTCTGCTGCCAATGTGACATTTTGAGAACTCCAACTTCCCTCATTTCTACAATCTTTGATGGCTCATTTTCCTGATTTACCAGTACAAGGGTCACATCAGGGCTAGCTAAAACCAGAAAGTTGCCAGCACAGCTAGACAGGCAGTGGCAGCTGTGAGATATTTGTGTGAATGTGCAATTGTCACCATGTACTTCCTACCTTCATAAGTCATCATTGAGTTTACCTGGACAAGATCCACAGCTGTTGTAGAAAAATCACAGCAATAGACAAAAAGGCCCGGGTCACTGAAATAAATAAAAGAAATGATCATTGTTTACAAAAAGGTACTCCACAGGAATTGCAGAAGAGTGTCGAAAGCACAGAACTGGGAGCCAGAAATCCCAGGCTCTAGTCTATCTCTGTCACTAACGCCTCGTGCAAAATCTGGTGGATCACGTTGCTCCTTTATGCCTCGGTTATTCTCACAGGGAACCGACTTACTTTTCCCTCTGGAAAAGGAGAGATACCAAAGCCTGTATGAAATCGCTTTCAGAATGAGACATATAAACTTGCACCGTGTTTTGTTGGTCGCATTCAAATACAAAAGATTTCTAAGCTCAAAACACAATCACTTGAAGTCACAAATGGCAAATGTACCATTTGTATCTGGTTTTTCTCTGAGATCATCTAAAGTAAGAACACATGCAACACTTTGCCTAGTGTTTTTCAAAGGCTGGTATATCAGGCAGGTAAAAACCTATTGAGAACTACTCACTTGTTGGTTTGTAAAATTGGGAAGACTGTATTTCCAGCACCACAGCCAACCTACAGAAACAAAGTAGATGCACACATAGTGAAAATCCTTTCTTCAGCATGTCCCTTGCAGCTAATTCCAAATCATGTCTCTACAGCCCTGGAACAAAGAGCAACTCATGAGTAACAACTGAGCATGGCAGTGACCATTTGCAAATCTCACTGCAAGATCTGAGTATGTTCAGCTCTGAGTAGCAGGTTTAAATACAAGCATTTGTGGGAAACCACTAAGCTAGCTCTCATAGAAATCCTACTAACAAGCTATATATTGTTACTCTTTTGAAAACTGTTATTGCTGGAATCCCAAGCATAACAACCAGTATGAGTCACTGAAGCACTGGCAAAGGCCATGGATTAGTTGCATGCACTTCCACAGAAAATCAGAGGCAATGGAGAAAGAAGTTTGCTTTACTATAATTACATCCTGCTGTTTCAGAGTTTCCTTCACTAGATGGCTCTTCCTCAAGTTACAACTAGGCCTACAAGGATTCTGCCTTATTATTCCTTCTACTTGTTCCCATTTGAAGAGAAGATGGCTCACACAACTGGGTTTGGGGAACATGCCTCTGACTGTTTAAGGAATCATTAAAATTGAAATAGACTGAGCAGAAAACACCACTGATGGCTTGCAGTGACATATTACTGATGCTACTCCGGTGAGACAGGAAAGCCACAATGAGCCAAGAACATCAAAGTCTGAGGAAGTCTCAAAACCTCAGATTAAATAAAAAAGAAATTGAAAGGACAGTTCATACTGACTCTTCCTGGAAGAGAACTTCCATAGAACATGAAGCATTCAACAAAACCAGGGGTATCTACAGCGAACAAACTAGAAGCGACAGAGCAAAAGGTCGTTAGCAGCTGTCAGGACTCTAATATTTAGAAGTCCTACAGACTTTTCTGGGACAAACTCTGTATCAGTCTGAGATACCTTGTTATTACACGGGCCATAAGGAACAAACCCAACAGCGCCTTCACATTCTTGGTTTCATTGTTTTGTTTCACACCTCCCAAGGTAAACAACAGTCAGCACAAATATGCAAAACATAAATTACAAGGGAAAGCTTTACACAGGCAAGTAAAAAAAAACCCAGCTTTTTCAGAAGATGATTTTTACATGCTTGTTTCAACATCCGATAGTAATAGTTTGACTTTTAAACTCAGAAACTTCTTATGGTCCTTCGTGCTCTGCCAGTTCACAGTCTAAACCAAAGGAATCCCAACAGATTTAATTCAGTCATAAACTGCCTCTGCTTTTTGCATTCTACTGGCTTAAAACGATCATCCCATTCACTTGCTGTTTGCCAATGATACGTATTTTTATGTCCCAGTCATGCTAACACTGACACAAGGGACTGTTTGAGGTGTGACACTGTTTCACAGCTATTACCTCTAATATTCGGTAAGATGCAGATGATCCCGGGTAATCTCTATTACTTGGATTCAGCTCACTGTACTTCTGTGGAGCCAGCTCCTCTGTGCAGATCTTAGCTGTGCTTTTTGTCAGGTTTAACTGATTCTCTGCCCTGGTTTCCAATGAACAATGTCCATTTTCACAGCTTCCCAGCCCTTCATTGTTGGATTCTTCTTTGTTACTAAATTCATGCACAGAATCCCCATTTTGACTTGAGTTCCTGTTAGGTGCCAGCTCAGGAAATTCAGTGAAGAGCCAGTGCCTGTCCTTGAAGAAGCCATTTTCATGGATTTTATAGAAGTCATCCCAGTACCTCTTAGCATTCACCTCATATTCCTCTGTAAATACAAACAAAACCGTCACTAGCAATCAAATCAGAAGGTCTCGGAGTTCAATTAGCTCAGACGGACAGGGATCACTGCAGACATCTCTTCAGCAACTGCTGTATTAAGTAAGGTTATGGATTGAAAATCACCTTTATTTAAATTGTGCCATCCTACATGAACACTCAGCCTGCCTCCTCACAGTCACTTTGTTTGACTAAAACAGGGAAAAGAGAGAGAAGAGGAAACTGTCTGTCTCCTGGTAGGATTTAAAGGAAGTTGGCAACAGAAAAGGCCTCTCTGAAGGAGGCTGGAATGAAGAAATCCAGGTTTTACTTCCATCTCTAACACTAGCTTGTTTGGTTCACTGGAACAATTCATTTGGAGCCTCATGACACTAAGTGTCAAGCACTTACAACTTCTAAGGAATTCTAGAACAGCTGCCTGGAGCTGAAGAGCTCCTGTCCAACATGCTACCTCTTTTTTCAGATGGAGGAACAGAAAAATTAAATCAACTATGCAGGCCTGGCAGAAGGTTCAATTAGCATTTGAGCTGAACTCCAAGATTACAGGACAGCATGTTTTACACAAGTATTGCCAGAGTCCAATCTACAGCACTTTGTTTTCCGTAGTTCTGTGCATGTTAGAGCATCACACATTTACAAAATTAAAACAAGAGGGCAACCAACAGAAGTGACCAGTCATGAAAGTAACAGTGGAGAGCTAAGGTGGACAGACTAAAGATGATACAAAATCACTTTAGCAGCAAGCATTACAATTTTCACACCAAGTGGGCACATTCCAGTAGCAAGATGAGTATTACAGAAAGCTGGAAGAACTCTTACAAAGCCATGATCTAAAGAAATTCTAGTCACCCACAGAATTATTTCCACACACCTTCACAGACTGCAGACCAAGTACAGTTCTAGGGGAACTATTTTTTCCATGGGAACTTATGAATCCAACCGGCTTCCTGCATTCTCATCAATGTTCTGAGTTCTCTGCCCTGGGAAATAAAAGCTAATTATAGCACCCTCTGCCTGTAATCACCCAGAGGCCTTATCATCCACGGCCAGAGATCCCAACTGCACCTCAACAACCGCACCTCCCCAGCCATCTTTGCACAGCAACAAGTGCATGACTGAATGCGAATGATTCTCCCACAATTAAAGATGATGATGGAATGTGAGAATGGATAACCTCTGTCCAACATCTGCTAAGAGCGGGGTTAAGAGAGAAAGTAGGCGTGTAAAAATTGGAGATTAGTGTTATTGTCTGAACTGCAGTTTATTTGCTAGTCTATCTGAAAAGCATACCAGTGTTTAGAAGATATTTGAAGACAGTGAAAGGAGCCAAGAACACCTGGAGAAATACGCAGCCTCAGCCAAATACAGACAAAAATGGCTCTAACAAAGAGCCAGAAGTCAGCCATATGTATATTTTTAGCAGGATCTATCCCTGAAGCACAAAGAGCTATATATACAAATAATCTCTTTACCTCAACTACGGGATTTTCTCCTTTTAAGAAGCCTTGTCCTTAAACCCCAAGCCAAAAGAAATTTTCACGTCTGATATTAGACTAGAGCAGTTCAGTTTGTGCCACGATCTCACCGTGGCTCAGGTAAGCAGGGGCAAGGCAGTTCACTATCTGCACGGCAGAACTCAACGACTGCTCGTGTCGGAGGAAGAAGCGTTATGGATTCAGTCCCCAGTGCACTCCCTTCTGAACTGTCACTTCATCCATGCACTAGGAGGGATGCGCAAGGCTGCTGGGGCTGGAAATGTTCTTTCAGCTAACAAAAATATAAAGTCCTGATTCCTGATGGTCCCTAACAATCCCAGGGCAGCCTGACTGTAATGGGATTTGAGGTGGCGTGGCAATGTTCCAACCCAGCCATTTTGGATCACCCACGTTTTTGACACAGTATAATGCTGAACAAGGCATTGTCCTCTTCCTGTGTTAAATTATTGTGAAATTCCATTGGATGCTACTGAACAGCTGTTATGTCCCAACCCACATGCGTGGATACTTTATTTAAAGCTCATTCGCCTCATAGCCTAGTGCTTTCAAAGCACTGGAATAAAGGATCAGTAACAATATAAATGCAAAAAATCAAAGGCCAGCTGACAGAAATCATGCAAGAAACAGATTTAAAGCAAAAAATGACGATATTAATTTTTCAGTCTGACTTCCTGCACAACTCATGCCAGAAAAGTTCACATAATACTTGCTTCGAGATCCTTTTTGTGGTATTAGCTCGCGGGAACACCGGCCCGTAAGCCAGATTCCTCCAGAGACTTTCTTGACAAGGACTCCTGACCTTTCTGCTCATCTTTGTAAGGACACCCCCAAAGCCAAGCCCATACTCACCCTTCCACACTGCAGAAGTGCGAACAAAAGCAACTGTTCACAAAATACAGAAAGAGAACCAGGGACCCCCTGAACTGCACGGGGGCTTGTGATGGAGCCTCAAAAGGAAATCAAGAAACGTTTCCACTTATGTCTTTGGTCCCATTCAGGAGACGCATCTTCGACATACCCCACAGAACTTCTCGCCTTCTTCAGAACAAATTCTGACAGCCCCAAGAACTCTACAGAATACTACAGTCATAATGACCAATAGCCTGCCTTTGTTCTCCTGCTTGGACATCACTGATTCTCAAAATCCGAGACCCTCCAGGCACATTTAGCTGGGCTGGCTTCCCTACATTTCAGCCATCCTATTGTCTCCACACACTTCCAACTGAATAGCAGCCATCAAAATTTGACTGGCCTCCATTGTTCGGTCTGGGAAATACATCACGAAGACCTGACAAACTGCCCTAACAGCAAATTGCCCCACAATTTCATCGTTGTATATAGGTTCTCAAAGCATGACAGACAGCATCCTTTAATGTTAACCAGATTTTAAAATGAACTCAACACAATGGGTATCACAATAGAAACTGCTGGATACTTCTGGGAATCCAAGGAATTAGGAGGGCTGCTCTTTCGTACAATTAAATTTGCTATTGTGAACACAACTGGAAGCTATATGGGAAGTGTCTCAATAGCTCCAGTAGTGTTCAGCATCGCCTTACGGATGACACACTCGATTTAATTCTAACAAAAGGAGCAGATGCATCCGAGAACTCGGCAGGATATAACAGGATCACCATCAAAAAAGTCTCTTATCATACCAAAGAACAGGAATTCATTTCGTTTAAGGGACTAGAGGATATCTAACAGGTGTGGAAGACAGAGCATTACTAACCAACACAGAACAGCTTCAACCGTGTTACCTGACTATAGCACTGTGCACCTTTAGCTTGATTCAGATCCAGTTAAGCTTTGCACTTTGGATATATAAATATCCTTTAGGCCAAGTCTGAGGAAATAAAGAGTCTGGAATTCCTTTTCTGCCCCTCTGATGATAAACATTTCAATCAGGATAAAATAATTTTTCTTTGCTTCTGATTTAATCATCATCATGCTGTTTGTTAACCTGGTGGAGATGACTATGGACACTACTGTATGTACTCCCTCTTAAGAGAAAAACTAAACTTAGGGATAGCTCCACAGCATGCAAGCAAACAAAAGGCTGCCTGTTAGAAGTTAAGCTTTAGACAGCAAAAACAAGCAGAGAAAATAAGACTAAATGAGGCTGATGCTCTACACTGAAGCAAGTCTGCTGACAAGGAACACTAACAAGTATTTGCACCCACACAACATGAACAAAGAAGCTCAACCCATGATGACTCCTCCCAGCCAAGATCATTTCTGTTCCAGTAGAATGAGCCTCTGGAGAAGGTGGAAAAGTCACAAAGACGTAAATTAAGAATAGAAAGATTCCTCCTCCTCCAGTTTTCATTATCAATCACTAGGTAATGTATTTTGAATGACTCGGGAGACAGGGGGAAGGCAGGAATAAATGATGATGCAGATGCAGCTCTGGCCAGACTGTCCCGCTCTTGTATGAACAAGTTAAGACTGAGCATTACAATAGGATCCAAAATACCTTGTTTATCTTGTGGCAATAGCTGTGAGCTGTTCTCTTGAACTTTACTCCTGGCACTGGCTTCCTGCTCTTCTGACCACTCCACATTATCCCTGTTGTAAAAAATAAGATTAACTACTCAGCTGAGAATGGTAGGGCGAAGACAGAGAGAAAAGAGAAAGGTCTAGACAGCTCTCCAGACCGGCAGCTTTGGAGCTTTTCCACGATCTCTAATTCGCGCTCAGCAGCAGCGCAACAGCTATCAGCACAAATGGTTCCCAGTTCCAAATGAACTGCACTGCAACACAAAAGGTATAACTGGAAGGGAGCCCAAGAGACACCAAACTCGTCCCCTAATCCTTTTCTCTATTTGATGCTCAGCCAAGTTCAGAGGAAATAAAGCCTTACTAGAGAACCATGAGGGCACTCAACAGAAACAGGCCTCCTCAGAGCAGAAGCTGTCCTTCTCACAGGGTGAAAAGCACTTGTTCCTACACAGGTGACGGGCAGGCAGGAGCTTGTGTGCTTTCACTCAAGCAGGTCTTCACCATGGGCTGTCTGACTTAGCTGTCTTAGAAAACTACATTTTCTTTCTCAAGCTAAAACGAAAAAGGCAGTAGGGTTATTTGGGAGGTAAAGTGTTACATTAAAATTAAATCCAATTATGAGAAAAATATGTGGGAAGCTTTAAAGCATTAGGAACCTATTAACGACTTAAATGTGCATACACAGTTGTCTAGTCATTAAAGTGATTCACTTGACCTTTCTTCATTAAAACAAGCGAGTGAAAAGCAGACTACAAGGCTCAAGGAGCACTATTCTGGCCTCAGGAGGAATTAGTCTTCTCATATTAACTCACAAAACAAAGACTTGACAAATTTCCAGTCTGTGAAAAACTAGATTACTAGGAGTTTCTGCTGGGAAATACTATTGAGGATATGGTTTTGCAACACACCTTTGCTATAGTACAGTCCCAAAATGAATGACAAGCTGATACATGCACGTATTACTTTATTACAAATTGAACATACCCAATTCTTAACAGGGTACAGCAGCCAGAGACCAAAAGTGGACATATTTACTTCAAAAACACAAAATGCCTTCAGTTCCCAGCGAATTTGAGTGCATAGCATATATTAAACCAACAGCTTTCTCGAGCCAAAGACCTCCTGTTCCAAGCCAAGAGCCAGCAGGACCTCACAGTGTCACAGCACAGCAGCAGCTGGGGGAAACGCTCTTTGTTGATTTACACGAGTCACTAACACACACAGAGAAGGGTTAGAGACATCCAAGAGCGGATCACTCCACTTTATTAACTAAAACAACGACACACTTTCTACCAAGCAAAGCAGCACATTCTCCTGAAACACGGAGGGAGCCTGAGGAATGCTGACTTCTTCGGGAAGAGCCGAGGAAGGCTCAGGAGCCCCTGGGATTGGCACCCCCAAGCACTGGCTGAGCGGGACAGGTCCCTCCCGCTTCCCCGAGTCCTCATGGCACCGACACGCCGGGCAGTGCCCGGCC